ATACCATGAAGCCATTATGTCATGAGCATGTGTTATTATGAATGTGAATCTTAAAATGTGTTCTTGAATGCAATATATAATTCAAATATGATATCCTTATCACTTGCACTTAAATTGATGAACATGTATTAGCATAAGTTAAATAGACATTGATTACTGAGTAGTTGTACTCATCTCATTATCTTCAATATTTTAGAAACTAACTCAAAGGAACAAGATAGAGGAAAACAACCTGAGGCATAGGATTACTATCCTATCTGTAGGCCTCCTTTTCTTTTTGAGTATTAATATGTATATTTTATATGATATTGTCAACTAGGGATAACTCATGTTGTGACTTACTTGTACTATGTGTTTTGACAAACTATATTGTATATTTTAGACCCTATGATGTATATGTATTAATTGTAAGACCTAGAGCGAGGCCAAAATATTAGTGCAAATAAGGGTTGTGTATAATACTTGATTGATGATGTATATGTGCTTTGACAAACTATATTGTATATTTTGAACCCTAAGATGTATATGTATTAATTGTATAACCTAAAGCAAAGTCAAAATACTAGTATAAGTAAGGGTTGTGTATGATATTTGATTGATGATGATTAGTTATTGAAATTTATGATTAGAACTTCCCCTTTTATTTTTGAGATTAAGAGGTTAAGTATTAAAAATGTGATGTAATTGTTAATTATGAGTTAAGGTGTATTGCACAGGTCCATTTTGGTCTAATGAGTATGGTTTAGGTGGTATTTATAACTTTTGGCCTTTGGTATGAGTTGTGGGCACTCAAGTTGTGTGGAAATTGTGAAAAATAGTGATTTTAAAATTAGTGTCCAACTTTTGATTGAGAGATAATTTGATTGTAAAACTAAAGCCATTAGCTAAAATTAGGAGAAAGCTCTTTGTAGATACCTAGATCACCTTAATTGGACATTAGATAAAGAAATGGGGTGCATCAAAAGTTCACCACAGGTTGCTATCAAATGATAGCAAAATTTGCTATCAAATATGTGCAATGCTACAGCATATGGCACAGAGACTAAAAAACCATGGTGTATGCCTCTCTTCTTTATTGAATTACTATATATGTCCAACTTTAATACAAATGTTTTGATTCTTTTTGAGATTCCATACTTTCGCATACTAATTAAACTCTAATTTATACTTGCAAAGATGATTTACTGGTTGGAAAACTTTAAAAACTTGGGATCTCAATTGTGTAATTCGATAATTTGGGTCATTACCTTGATGTTTGGAGATTAGGTAGAATAGTAAGGGTAACCTTACTTGTCTAACTCAAAGATTTTACACTGTGTGTGTATGGAGATATGTGTAAACAAAATTCATATGGTTGAGCTAGCACCATGGGACATTCAGTGCATGATATTATTTGGGACTGTTACCATAGGATATTCGGGCAATCTGGTAACTCCCTAATGCCCTAAGGGTGTAGTTAGGAGTCAACGACACCCCTATCGTGTGTGTGAAAAGGAGAATTCATAGTTTTGAAGTGGGATAAAATACCTTTAGCCGGGCATTACTACCATTTAAGATGTGCTTGAATCAATGATTATGTAATTGATCTAAGAGAGTTTATGAGTTCAGTTGGGGAGTTTGGAGGATTGAAGGAAAGATTATCATGTTAGAGTGTGATTGGTTTTTGTGAAAAGTGACTATAAATGCATATCTATATATATAATTAGCAAGTGTGTATATTATAATGCTTTTATTTACCTGTATGTGGTTATTTTTGTTAGCATACATCTAATGAACTATTTTGGTTATTGAGATTTTTATGTCACTTATGGTTACTCATATTTTTCAAGACCTGTTATTGGTAGCTTGAAAAAGAAAGAGTCAGGTAGGGAGTAGTGACAATACTATTAGCCTGCTAGTGGGTGTGATGGACTTAAACTTGTCATTTTATGTATATAAGTTGCCATAGGTTTTTCATAAGCATGGTTTTAAGTTCACTTATACATATGTGTGAAACTTAGCCCAATGTGTGTAATCTTGTGATGTGTGTGATTTTGGTATTCAAGAGCTAAGATATAATGCCAAGTGCATAAGTATATATATATATATATATAAAGGGATTTGGCTATAAGGATAATTATATGTGATTATATGATTTTTGCCTAAGTGTGTGTAATAGGCAGTTTAATGACCAAACTTGTGTGTATACATGATGTTGGGTATATAATTAGTCAATCAGGTGTTAAATAGCTTCTTGGATGCAATCAAGGCCCTAGAAATGGCCAATGATACTTGGTTTGAAAGTGGGGTGCTTAGGTGAATGAAAATAACTTGAAATAATCATTTCACATTCAAGTGTCCAAATTTCAAATGAAATATCATATTTAAATGAAACCAATGTCATTAGCTAGATTTTGAAATAAGTTTCGTATGAGTGTTTGAACCATTCCAATTAGACATCGGATGTGAAAACAGCCCATATCATAATTTTGTATTAGATGTGTTGTTTGACAACAAAAACTAATACGTGTATCACAGCACATGGTGTACATGTCGCGGGGCATGTCATAGAATGAAAAATAGTGGCTCTATGTCACATATTGCGACATATGACTCAGTTTGGCTTGAAATTTTCGTTTTGCTTTCGTTTTCTTCCAGTGCTTTGTATATGTGATTTTTTATGCTTTTGCTATGTGTGAATAAAACTTTAATCCTATTTGAAATAGTTTTCCAAAAGATTTACTATGGGATCCCAATCTTTAATTATTTTTCTAAGTTTAACCCCATGTGAATTAGCGTGTTAGATCGTAATGTTAAAAGGGCATTACAAATATAGCATAAACATTGAAAAAAAAGTTCTTTGTCATTGTCTAGATCAATCTTTCTCTCATGTTCTGATGGATAATTTTGCTGTCTTCCTATATAGGACTAAGGTGATCAAAGTTGTGGTTTGGTTCAGTTTTGATAAAAGATGAATCAAACCAAACTAATTGATTTACACAAAAAATAACACTTAACCAATTTTTTTTAATTAGGATTGGGTTGGTTCATTTTTTAGGTGGTTTGGTTTGGTTTAGTTAGTTTATATATGGATCAAGTTTTAATATTTTTGTAACATATAACATCATATATTAAGGCCAAGCATGACTTTTGACTCTCCTTTTTTATTTTCATATTCTAACTTCAAGTGACATTTCATTATCTATGAATAGAAATGAACATCATATCCAAAAGAGATATTAAAGTTTCATTATCAAGAAACATCATATATGTATTTGTAATTAAGACAAGTTAAATTTCATTATTAATTGTCTTGATGTCTATAATAAAAAGTAACTTACTTTAAATAAAAAGGGAAATTATATATTTAAAATTATCTAAAAAAATCATTCTTGAAATATATGTATTTTGCTGTGTAATAACAAAACTGAGAAATGAAGGGTTAGATATTCTATTGAAGTATTTTGGGTTGGGATTGGACTTTAGTTCGAAGTTAAAATTAAAAAAAAAAAACACCAATAGTCTAATATTAATAATAACAAATGCATTTAAAAATTGTAAAAAAGAAAGATATGGTTCAAGTGTTCTTAAGATTTAAAAAAAAAAATTCACAGTTATAAAATCAAACCAACTTTTATTAGTGATCGGTTTTATTTACTTTTTATTGGATTGGCTTTAACTGATTTACTGGAGTATGCTTTGTTCACTTTTACTCACCCCCTTTTTTTTTTTTTTTTGAGCAATTTTACTCAGCCTTGAGACACTTTCTTTGCTCATTTTTGTTAATTTCAAAGGTGCAATTGGCTTTGTTCAGGATTGTGAAATAAGTGTGCCTATGCGATTTGGCCAGGTTTGCTTTCTGAAAAATCATTTATAAATTATTAAAATGTGATGATATTTGGATAAATTTTTAAAAATTAATTTTGATAAAGTGAAAGATATTTGGATAATTTTTTTAAATCAATTTTAAATGTAAAAATGTTAATAGCTCAAACCTTTTTCTTCTTTTTTTTTGGGGGGGGGGGGGGTTGTTAGAGTTCTTTTGTCATTGCCTAGATCAAGCATTCTCTCATGTTCTGATGAATAATTCTGCCGCCTTCCCTCAATGTCTATGGGACACCTTCTTCGCTCATTATTTGTCGTTTTTGTTAATTTCAAAGGTGCAATTGGTTTCGTTCAAGATTTTGAATAAGTGACGCCACAAGATTTGGCCACGTTAAATTTCTGGCGCCACTGGATTCGCTCTTCGAATTAACAAGTTTTCTAAAAGGTGGAGGACGGATAGGTTTTACGAGGATTTAAATTAAGTGTTAAATTTTTAAAATTTATAAATTTATCTCTTAATTTTATAATTTATTTTTAAAATTTTAATATGATTGAAGAATAAATAAATTTATTTTTTATTAAAATTTTAAAAAATATATTTATAAATTTACCATAATAAAGTTATAAAATTTAAAGCCAAATTTATAAATTTTTAAAATTTGACACTTAAAACGTAATTTTAATTAATCGATTCTCTTGAAACCTCTATATCATTCTTTCTTTTTTAGATGGAATAAATTTTAACTTATTCCAGATGGAGGTCAAATTTGGTTTTTAAAAATTGGAATGTGCAGATAAAATTTTTTAAAATCATGATTTTAAACTCAGAATTAATTTTAAAAATATATCTGAACAGGCCCTTAATAATTAACATAATTTCCCAGCCAATATTTAATTGTGAATAAAAAAAACGTGTGGTGAAAATTTAATAATATGACTTATATAAAGAGAACAAAAAAAAAAATTCTTCTCTCACTTACAAGACACAAACAAAAATGTTTAGAGGAATCCAATATTTAAGGCGGAAAGGAGTGCTAAGTCATTTCTTTTACACAAAGAAGGAAATTATAAGTTAAATGCATTTAATTCTGGTTGTTTGGACGATACACTTACACCTATAATTAACTTCAAGCGTGTGTGGGAGATTGTTTGCGTTTCCCAAACTTCACGTTTTCAAGATTATATTCAACAACGCGTCATCCAAAAGTCCATATCACTATCTCCCACATTTAACAAGAGGGGGATAATATAATATTACACTCTTCGATCTCGAGCATAAGAGCCACTTAAACTATATATCTCCCGCATTTAACAATATTGGAATAATATATTAACTGATAATTGACAAGATCACATAAAAACAGATGCGATATAACTCAACATTAGCCAACAAGATGTGTTAAGCTTATTCTCAATATTGAACCCAGTCGATCTTCCATGAAAGCTAATCCTGATTATTCTCAATTAATTGTGATTGATGAAGGAGACAATAGAGTTCATGAGCATGACCAGAGCATTGTCGCAGGTCGGATTGAACAGGTGAAACGCATGATCCTGGTCCATTGCTTCCATGACTTCCACCATTCCCTTCCACCCACTTTTCTCCACCATTTCCTTGTAGTACCGACCTCTTTCCTTAAACATATCCTTCTCTGCAAGACAAACCAGTATCTTCCGACAACCTAAGCACCCCAAATTCGGATCCTTCGCCGGGTTAATTAACGGGTCGTCCGATCCTTCCGTCGTCGGGCACACAAAACGCCACCGACTATCCACCTTGGATCTCAACCCCGCGTCTATCTTCTCTGACTCGAGTGATTCCGCTCCCCAGAAGTATGGATGAATCAGAACGATCCCTTCCAGATTCACACCCGGTAATCCTTCCCTGCCAACCCGAATCGCCATGTGGTGTGAGATGTTCGCTCCGGCGCTGTCTCCGGCGAAGAATACTCTCTCGAAATCGACGTGATGGTTCAGTAACTCCTCAGTTCCGTTGCCGCCTGAATGAGAAGCAACCCATTGGATCGACGTCCATGAGTCTTCGAAGGCAGTAGGAACAGGGTGTTCTGGGGCTCTTCTGTAATGAACGGAGACGGCGACGACGTTGGCCGAGGACACGACGGAGTTAACGTAGTTGTGGTACCGTGCGGTGAAGGGGGTTTCGGTGACAAAGCCTCCCCCGTGAAAGTAGACGAGGAGAGGAAGCTTTTGTTCGTAGTCGATGACTTTGGGAGCGAAAAGCCTGGCCGAAATGGGGGCCTCTTGAGAGATGACAGCATCATGGGACCGGACTTCAGTGTTAGGGTCGTCAAGGGATGGAGGAACGAAGTCGATGCCGACGAGTCTCTGGACGCGACCATCTTTGTAGAGTTTGAGCCTGGAGGGGTAGGCGTTGGCTACTTCGGTGGAGCTGGAATCCATGGCGGAATTGGACGGTGGAGTGAGACGGAGTGCAATGAGACACACAGAAGACAGGAGGTGATGATGAATCGAAAGGTAGGGCCCAACGGCCTAGTCAAGTGTGTGGTGCTAATAGCATTACTAGTCATTAGCTTCAAATATTTCCAACGACCTTTATCTTTTGGGACATCTTTTTTAAATTTTTTGCACAATCATCAACGCGTGAAATCTAAACTATTTAAATTTAATATCAGTTTGAATTTTAGTTTATATTAATAAAAATATATTTAAAAAATTTAATTATTTATTAAATTTAATAAAAGTGTATTTTAAATATGGTTTGAATATAATTTTAAGATTACCCAAATATATCCTTAATTTTATGTATTTTTGATTGATAAATCTGAATTTATATTTTAGATTTATAATTCATGTAATAAATTTTTTTTTGGAGCAGTTTAAAATTTTTACAATGAATAAAAGATATGAATTAAGATTCAAAACAAAAATAAAAAATTAAAAATTATGAACTTGTTTTTATTCTTAATTAATAGCAAATGAAAAAATATATAAAAATTATTGAGATATTAATAATGAAAATCGGATAGAATAAAATGTTTAAAGTGATTATAATTTTAAATGACTATAGTATAGAAGAAATTTAAAAATATAAAAAATTATAATTTGAAATAGATTTGAATTAAACCAAATTTAAATTTATAAAATTTTTTGTATCTAAATGAAGGATTTGCCTTAAATTTAAATTTAAATTTCTATTAATCCAAACATACCATTAATGATTTGATTGTAGAATTTTTCAGTTTTTGTATATGAAAACTTATTTTTTAATAGGAGAAAAACAAACAAATCCGGTCACTAATGATAAAAGAGTGTCGTAAAATGAGGTAATTAGTCTCAAATTCTTAGGGATTTATATGACATAATTTTTTGTGAAATTACATTTCCAACCCCCTACAAAATAATAGAAACCGTAATTGTCAAAAATTAAACTAAAGCTGTGTTCATATGAAGAGCAGGTGTGGAAACAGGGTGGTCACACCCCCGAGTTTTTTAATTTTTTTTAAATACAAAAATTATATATTTTAACCCCTCGAGTTGACACATTATGAAAGACTTGAAATATTAGATAAAATTTTTATTTTAATTTTATATAAATTTTTTACACATATATAATGTAATTAGTTCAATAACTTGAAGATATAATTATCATGAGATTTATTTATTTTCAACAAATAATACTACACATGCTCTTAACACATTGTTGATATCATTTGATTTTATTTTTATTTTATTATTCAATAAAAAGAATTATAAGAATTATTATTAACAAATCTTGTCAAGCATTACAATAAAAAAATATGATTGACATCCTGGTTATGTGATAATTGAGTATTACTATCGTGTTGATATATTTATTTATTATAATGATCAATTAAAAGAATTGATTAAATGGTAAATTTAATAAATAAGTAATAGAGTTTTTAAGATTGAAGAAAACTTTATCATAATAATTCATCTAGATCATTCAATGTTCATAAAATAGATAACTTTTTTGCCAATTCAGTGATAGTTTATATGGAAAAGGAAATTTTTGAAAAGTTTATTTCAAACATGATAATTAATTATTTTATGTTATGAAAAATCGATAATCAAAAGTTAAAAAAATAAAGGTATATATTTATTTGGGTTAAGAGTTATTTTTTGCCTTTCAACTTTACTCAAAAAGTTATTAGACATCATAAATTTAACTGTGAGTTAATTTTATCTCTCAACGTTAAAGATTTATTCCCTCATCACTTTACCACCAACTCATTGCTTTTTCATCATTAATGGGCCCTACATTTAATTTTTAATATTTTTATTATAAAATATTTGAATTCAGGATGCCTACTAACCTTCTGAGGTAAAATTGAAAGGCAAAAATAAGTCTCAACCCAATATTTTATTATAAAAATATTAAAAAAATTAAATATAAGACCCATTAATGGTGAACAAATAATGAGTTAATGACAAGGTAACGAAAGAAGGAACTTTAATGATGAGGAACAGAATTGACCCGTTATTAAGTTTAAGGTACCTAGCGACTTCTTAGGTAAAATTGAGAGACAAAAATGACCCTTAATACTTTTTATATATATTTATAAAATTAAATAAAAATATACACATTAAAATATTTACATTATATGAATGACATATATATTACTTTCTTTTGATTATTATATATGCTTTGTCATCTTAGCCTTCATAATAAAATTTCTATCTCTACCTCTATTAAGAAACATAGTTATTATTGCATAAATAAACTTAGGTCATGGATAATTGTATTGTTAATAATTAAATTATAGTTGCCAATTATTAAGTTAAAGTTGTTAAAAGTTAAAACAAGAAGGATATTTGTTCTTGCGTAACTAAGTTAACATTTTCATTTTCTATATTAGCAACTTTAGTTTAGTTTTTAAAACTACTCTTTCTATTATTTTGTTAAGTGTCAGAAATGTAATTTTGCCATAAAAAACCATGTCGCATGAGTAGACTGTAGGATAATTACCCAATTTCATGGTATTCTTTTATAATTTATTTGTCAATTTTTTAATAGAGCCATGTGTCACGAGGCTAGTCTTTCAACTAGTGCGGCACTTAAACAATTTTCACTGAAAGTTACTAAGTAAGTCTAACTTGTATGAAAGGAAGATACTTGATTAAGTTGAAGAAAGGAAAAACTTGAGGGCAAATGATACTTGAAAGAGAGTTTAAAGAATGTGAGAGTAATATTGCTTTGAGAACTTAAGGGTTGTGTTACAAATGAGAAGGGATGATGTATTTATAGGCCTTCCCCTTGGATCTAGATATTTCCCACCTCCTTAATGAATGGTGGAGATTGAATCGATTCTACGGTTACAATTCATTTTTTAGAACTCTCTTCTAAATATTTACAATAAATATCTAAATATTTACATGGTAAGATCTAGTAACAAATATTAAAATATTGAGGCTAGAGTTGTGTGCTTAATGTTATGGATTTGTATCATTAATTGTGATATGTTTCTTATCAATTCTTTAGTGATATTTTCAGCTTGTAAACAAACGCTCTTATAATTTATCATCATCAATCGCATAACTAAACTAATTTTTATTTTATTTTGTTTTGAAAAATAATTTTAAAAACCATATTATAAACTAATTTAAAAAAATGGAAATATAAAACAATCGACTCGAGTTGTTATTGTTGGCATTTCTTCTTCTTCTTCTTCTTCTTCTTCTTCTTCTTTTTTGGGTTTTTCGAGAGTATTTGTCAACTCTTTTTTTTTTTCGAATGGAATATCAAATGCATTAAAACAAAGTAATCACATGCAAGCCCACACTTGGAACAGACATACCAACAAATACACATACACTCAGCTCACGGCTAGCCTTTGCCCTTGTCTTTCGTTCATTGCTTGACATGGAACCACACGAAATATGTAGAGTAAATAATTTAAATAGAATAAACTTAATTCTAGTCAAACTTATTTAAATTAAGTTTAAAGTATTTCTCTTTTAAAAAAATATATATAACTGAGCTGAGCTCGATTCTAAATTTACTAGCTCTGCATATATATAGAGCTGATAATTTCAATGATCAAGTTCAATTAGGATTGGGTTTAATGAAATTAAACTTAAAATATATTACCTTTAAAAAAAATTTATATAATTAAATCTGACCCTAACTTTTTCAAAGAGATTTACACTAACTAATTCAATTTGATCTAAATTATTAGCTCTAGATATAGGTTCAAATGAAGGTAGGACCCAAAAAAAAAAATTACAGTAAACCCGGACTATGAAGTGTGAACCCCAAACATAAACTTGACAAACCCTCGACTCCAAGACACGTCGATAAACAAGAAAGTTGAGCCTCAGATTTATTTATTTTTTGAGAAAATAATAAATTAAGAATTTTATAAAAATATTAATGATAATTATAAATTTTGAATAAGTAAAGTTTTGATAATAGAATAGATTTTTTTTCTTCTTTCGCTTTATAAATACAAACAGAGATACTATTAGTTGTTTTTGGCGTTTGCATTTTTTGGCCAGTAATTATTGACTTTTTTAATGAAATATCAAATGCATCAAAAGAAAGAAATACACACGCATTACAAGCCCGCAGACTGAGAGCCCTGGTCGGCCTGTGGGTCAAACGACCCCGCCTATGAGCCCCAAGCATAAACTTGACGAGCCCATAGGTGTAAATCACGTGGTGATGAGAACCACATACACGAGGCTAATAACGAAGACAACAGAAAGCAGCCCATGAAGGAAATGAAGAAACTCCATGCTTGCAGGAATCTCGAGCCTCCACCGTGAGGTTTGATGTCAAACAGGTTGCAAGCAGGTTTATGTTTCCCAACGTTAGGCCTCCAAATGACAGCTATGGGCGCCTATCGGAAACTTGAAAAAACATTCACCTACCAAAAAATATATAGATATATATAAAATAAAACTTTTGATAACAAAAGTCTAAAAGTCATGGCTATAACTCTAGTAAAAAATATTTTTAGTAGCAACTTTTTTTAATAATAAGTTATTTTATATCACTTCCCTTTGTCATGTGTGCATTACATAATACCATTCATATATGCGGTAGATGATACCATGTCACTTGTCATCTTGTGCCACATCACAGGCCATGTATTTGACAGATTATGTCACCTCGTGCCACGTCACTTGACACATGTATGCCTCCTCAAGTCATCTCACACGCTATATCATATATTTGTTACAAAGTATGCCAAAGTTAAATTTTAAACTTTTGACTTTCCATCTCCAACCTTCAAATCTCATTTTTTGCCTATTGAATTAAAATGCATTTATAATTATTATATGTGAAATTAAATATATGTTAGTTAACTGCATACACATATATCAAATAATATATTATTAAAATATATACATACATTATATTTTATTTTTAATTATTAATATAAAAAAATAATTTATATAAATATTTAAATTATATTTTTAATAAATATTATTTTTTACAAGTAAATATTATTTTTGTTAGGGAAATAAACTTAAAATAGGAAAATATTAAATATTAAATAATATTCTTATATACATTGTAA